CATTAAGATATCGATGCCAAGAAATTCTCTAACAGCTATAAACACTAGAGTATAAAGTATTATTTATTAAAGTAATCCCCGCTGATCTTATAGCCCTAAATCGACACGATCACGTAGTATTTGAAACCAGTGCCAGCGCGGGCGATACCATTACCTACTAGCAGTAGTCCTAGAACGAACTGTTTGCGGGCGATACCATTACTAGTGGTAGTGGTCCTACAACGAATGTGTGCTCTGACAACTATGTTTACATTACAGGTAGTGGCGCGAAAGATTTGTTTACTACTTGTAAACCACATTACAATCAGTATCCAGTTACTATTGACACGTGGTGCTATTTACTTGCAACAGAAATATATTCTTTTTTCTTTTTCTTTTTGTTTAAAAACGTTGCCCCACACTAGGATTTTCTCCTGTGTTGTGGGTGCGTTTATAAACATACAAGTTTACATACACATGACACCCAGACCCGGAACAACAATCTGTGGATCACACAAATTAGAGATACAATATTAGAGAAGAGGAAATTAACCCAAGTGAAACCTATGACGAAATGTATTAAAGTTTTGAATGTTTTTCCAACAATCATGTAACATAATTCAGTTATGAACATATACGCGGGTAACTAGGTACCTTCTTTACTTTATAAAAATTGATTAGACGTATTGTAATGAAAAAAATTGTATGACCAAGAGTCCGTGAAGAATTAATCTGTAACATTTTATAAAAAAGCGGGAAATTCCTAATTTTTTTTTATGGCATAAGCCGGTAAACGAGCAGACGGATCACCTGACGATAAGCACTCGGCGTCGCCCATGCATGGACATCTGGAACACCAGAGGCGTTATAAGTGCGTTACCGGCTTTTTGGGGATTAGGAGTTTGAGGATCGTTGGGGATTCAGGGATTGAGGACATTGGGGAAGGGGAGGGTAATTGGGCCTCCGGTAACCTCACTCATTTAGTACCTAATTTAGTACTTTTAGAAGAAAACTAAGAAAGCATGTACTTAGAATATGGAATTTAGCTTTTTGTGGATTTATACCAAACCAGTAAGTAAGTAGGTAAGTTATGATGCCGCTCATAGAAGCTATTGTAATAAAATCATAATTTTTTGTTAGCATATTTTATGAAGAATTTTAAACGAGTAATTTCACGACTGTTTACTATAAAGGAGGCCTACAAATTTCGTAAATAAACTATAAAGAATATTAATCGTGTGCAAACTGGAGATTGAATTGAAATTCATCTAATTTTACGGATTACTTGGGGTATTACATTTTGGTTGACAATTTGCGACGGTTTATAGTGAAATAATGAGTTGTTGTGGTGCATTTGAAAAGGCATTAAGTGTAAACTATAAACCTTGGGCTTTAATGCCAGAAAATGTGGTCATGTTGTTGCCATGAATCAAAAGTTAACACAAACACCGATACAAGAATAATACAAAATTAAAAAGAAAAGAAGAAATAAATACAGATACTTATATAGGTAATACAGAACAATAATGAAAACCAAAAAACAAAGAAACGACAGGGTACCTATAACAAAACAGTGACAATACAATAATAACACAGTAATTAAAAAATTGTAAAACAAGATAGGTATAAATAACATTTATAACAAGAAGTTTGGATGTCATTTGCACCTACTATAAATATGGCACCTACTATACTATAAATATGTTAAGTTAGGCATTATCTGCTAGTCGAAGAGCAGAATGCTCTCTTAGTACAGAATCTAAGACTGACATCCTTACAATATCCATTATTCACTAAATATTAAGGTACAGACAGTAACAATGTAGTATAACAAACGTAAAAAGTTTCCTTTGAACGAAATAAAACAACTCTTTTATGGAAACGAGTTCTAGAAATAGGCCTTCGGGAAATCTATCGGATCTAATAAAATTGTGCAACGATAAAATACTAGCTCTTATATTCGATTGATTGCTGATCGAATAAAATGGTTACTTTATTATAAAATTGTGGTGATTCGAGATACATATTTAGTTAAAATCGACTTAATATGTGCTGATCTTCCGGAAACATGAAATGGGAGAGCCATGCTTCGGCATGAATGGGCCGACTCGACCGCAGTGATACCACGGCCTCACAGAAGACCGACGTGAAACAACGTTGTGTTGTGTTTCGTCGTATAAGTGAGGTTACCGGAGGCCAAATTACCCCCCCCCCCCTACCCCTTTCCCCAATCCCTGAATCCCCAACAATCCTCAAATTCCTAATCCAGAAGGTAACGGAAACGCACTTGTCGCACGCCTCTGGCGTTTCAGATGTCTATGGGCGACGCCGATTGCTTATCATCAGGTGATCCGTCTGCTCGTTTACCGGCTTATGCCATAAAAACAATAATAACTAAACCGAATAAAAGTACTATGGACATTGGACATTTACGACAGTACAAAATTGTGAAGATAAATTCAGAGATATTAAAAAAACTAATATCTTCTACTGCATTAGCTAACAGAGGACATGAAACAGATGAAGTGATAGTACATAAATTCCAATCGCTGCTAATAACTATGGGGCAATTTTCCACAGATAGGTACTTTGTAATCCATATCATTCTCTACAATTCAAATGAAGGCTGGCGGTAATCAATTCAGCTGTTTATAAATTATTTACATGATAGCTAGAGGCAGTAAAGCAGTTATTAGTAATTGAGACCATTACTTGGGTGGCATGTCGATGATATCCGTTAGACTTTTATGGAAGTACTATCGGTGTTTTTGCTGGTGTCAGGGAGTAGGGGGCGGAGCTTAAAATATTATAGCAAATTTTATACTCATTATCTGACTTGTAATTTTTAAGTTTTGAATGCCTAACGGCAATCAAACTGATTGAGCTATGTAATAGAGAGACAATTTTTTTAAGACTTATGGTTCGACTGTCACTCTCAGTGTAAAAACAGTCAACAAAAATGGGTTAAAGCAACTTTTATTTTGAGAATAAGACAACAAAGTCTTTAGGCAACATGCAGCTTTAAAATGGAAATGTACGTATGAAACAAGTACAACAATAATCGTTCGGTTTACTTTTATGACCGACCCTTGTACTGAATGTGCATCTAGGGAACCATTAACTCGACTACTGCAGTTAACGTTAGCCAAGAAAATTCTTCAGTTCTTTTAAAAACCTCAATTGTCTTTTAGTAGCAATCGTGACTCTCATGTATGACGCCAAAAGTTTAGGAGCTGAGCAAAATGATATTTCTTTTACCGATTTCTGAACAATGAAAAGCTACTACTACTTTACGTTACGTAATTAAAAAACTGAAGAAATATTTATACTCTTTTTGTAAACGTCTGGTAGTTTATCCACAATGAATAAGTACTTACTATAATAAATTAATGATCAAACTTCTAAAAGCAATACATCACAATAATCGTCTTCCATCAAGAGAACACACGATCTCATCTAAGTAACACAAAAATCGAGGGACTATCGGAATCTAATCGAACATCTATTTTTAGCTCACCCTATAGAAACAAGATGGCGATCTCAAATCATCTGTCAAATTAAGCACGTGGGTACGGCTATTTAAGGAAAATATTCGTTTTTCTGATTAGTAAATAACCTTTTCTGATATTATCGATATTTTCTTTTGGCCTCGTCATTGGCCTTGGGTTGTTACACTCGAGAGACGTTACACTATTTTCCTTGAACACGAGGGTTTTGGTGTAAGAAGATTAATAAATTGCAAAAGCGTTGTTCGTAATATAAAGGTTTCTTGAAGTAAACATTACGTCATATAGTTTTCTCAAGACGATTACCTAATTAACACAATGACTGTACTACCAAAGGAAGGGAAAATGGTTACAGTTTTCATACGTCATATTATGAGATCCACGAAGACTATTTTTAAAGGTTAATTACAATCACCGTACTTGTGGTTATTAAAACTAAATAACGTTCTATTATCATTTAGAGCCGATTTTTCAAACGCCAGATAAATTTTAACTAAGGATTAACTTTGAATATTTGACAATTCTTTCATACTAAAAACTGTAAAAATTGTCAATTTTATTCTCCAATCAAGAATTAACTGATGATTGAAATCGGCCCTTAGCTTTTAAGTACATAAAGATTATGTGATAACAAAGCAAAAACAAGTACAGTCAAGTCAAGTACAAGTCAGCATCAAAAACTGTTCACTACGATCATAGTTCAAAAGCATTACAATTACAAAGCATAGCCAGTAAATTCGGAACACATCCGGAAACGCTGGGAGCAATAGGATTCACACAAACGGTTCACGATTCACCGGACCCGGGCCGGATATCAACCGTTCCGTTTGTAAACATTCACTATTGTCAGTGATCCGGTGATAAGAGAAAAAAGATCGGCATCATAATATTTAAATATATAATTATAGGTATATGGGGTTGAAATCTTCAATTTAGTAAATAAATTATTCTTTCTAAACTACGTTTAAAAACACAACATCAATCCCGTCTTTTTAGAAATCGGTTAATTAAACTGTCAAACACCAAGCGGTCACCGGTGAACGCGACCTATTGTTCTTTAATTGTGTCTATAAAACCGGTACTCGACGAGTTAATATACTAAAACTTTCTCCTAAGTGTAACAAACATTTTCTGAAAACCGCACCGAAATCGGTTCAGCCAATTGCAAGATAATCGGACACAAAGATAGGTAGACTACGTAAGATAGGTAGAATAAGACACATACAGGCTAAAGTAAGAACCTCCTTTTCTGAAATCGATTAGAAATATGAAAAAGTTACATCTATTGTGTTTACAAATGGGTTTATTATTTTTACAAAATCAATTACAAAATCGTCATACGTTTCGTATTTGGCCATAATCGAGAAAGTTCTGATCTAAAATCTGCTTTATTCCATCCCATAGAAGGACAAGTCAATCAACGTTAATAATCATCATGTAAATAAACAAGAGAAACTTTCCTATATACATATAAAGTACTTATTCGTATGTATATGTCGGTTTGTTTATACTTACAGAGTAGGCCTTTATTCTCTCTGGGTCGACATCGTGCTGCGACCGGGTCTGCGCACGCGGCGATGACGACACCATGATCTATACGCTCGAGTAACGGTTTATCCAAATGAGAATGTTGTACGCCATATCACATTGCACTTTTTAGAAATATTTTTATTTTTGGTTCTTGTAACACTAATAGGTACACTGATTCACTTTTTCTATTGTAAAAAAAATATTTTTATTTTTCCGTGTTTACATTTGTGTGTTTATCTTCGTATGTAATCTTCAGTTTTTTATGATTGACAATCTGTTCATTGGGTGCTTGATTTACACAAAAACATATATTTTAGAACACGATACACAGAAAAGAAAGTATAGGAGAATAATATCAAGCAATATATCTACCGTAAAGTAAATATACTGCGTCATATCGTTTTATTACCGTGTCGAGGGGAGCATACATAATAGGAACATAATTTACGTAATAAATACTATTTAACATACTTCTTTAATATACACAGAAGGGACAGGAAGAAGGAGATTTTGATATACATTCTCTGCGTTTTGAAACCTATTTAAATAGTATTAAATCACATTTTTGGTTAATAGCCGTAAAGTTATTGTTTATTATGTCATTGTAAGGTGCGTAACTGGTTATAAAAATATTACACAATTCCCGCAGTGGTAAATAGTAATACATACTCGTACGAGGACACAGCTGGTAAGACTTATTGGTTAATAGGTAAACAGAGAAGAAAATAACTTTGTGATTAATTTTTAATAGGAATTTAAGAAATGCGTGGCTCAGTTTTCATTCTGAATAATAGCTTTATACATTTAGGTACGTTTACCTATTGAATGTTTACACATAGGCTAAACCACGCCTAAACGATCACACCAAAATAATTCGGCACTCAGACACATTGTTGCCTGACATTTACTATAAAACACTAGACCATAGACACACATTAAATGTCAAATCCTCAAAGAGAATGCTCTAACATATCCCCTGTGCACTATACCAGCTTTACTCCACGAATAGCAAGCCTTACTCGTAGTAAAAGCAATCGAATTACGATAAAACCAAGGTCAGAAATCGATTACGAAACGATTCGATATGGTGAATTAAATCGATAATGTTGATGGCAAGGAAATAGACGGCGGGAAACTCTGAATTGTGCTATAGTCTGTGCTATTTCAATTTGTTTTTGAATTCCGAACTATTTTTGTTATCGAATGGAATGAATATTTTTTTAAATCGGTAACGTGTTGCCAAAATGTTTGTTATGTAAGCCCCATAGCTTTCGAATCATGGCACCAAATCGATATTGCTTAATTTCGAAGGAAAAATTCGAAAAAAATACTGAGTAATGCTAATCTATATAAAGTAGACGCTCGATTATTACGTACATATTTTATTGTGTATCGTATAATTAATTTTAATCCTAAGAATTAAGACGTATTAAATTTTTTTTCTTCTCAGTGAAAGTCTCTGATTGATCTCAATTCTAGCTAAATTACTACAGTGTAATTAGGTAATAATAGCAATACGTTTCCATGTTCTTTTAATAGGTACAGAGTAAGCGAACTGTGCTCAAAATGTACAGGAAAGTAACATGCATTGCTTGTTCGGAATGTAGGTTAAAAGGCTCGTTGGGTACGAATCACTATTTCCACTTCCAACCTACTTGTTTTTAATATTAAACTCAACTAAATATACAACAACATCTGTATTAATTCTGCTACTTATTTATGTATGAGAAACTAATCATTAGGTATATTTATGTAATAGTTGTATTGGTTATAACAATATCAAAGATTTTTTTAAAATTCTCAGTAGCATGGAGTGTGGCTCATCCCCTATGACATGAGACTCATAACTAACATAAATAGTGAAAACTGGGTGTTACATTGTACAGTGGCATTAAGTGCCGTAATGTACACTTCTGCGTTCACTTCGGGGATGAAAGGCGTGATGCTTCATTATGTAATACTGAAAGAGTTATGTGTCTTATGGCTGGATGCGCAAGTCTTATTGAATTACATGGAAATACTAAAGATAAAAAGCTACAAATAACATGTTACTTCCCAAATTGAAGTATAGAAATCTTCATCAATTATGCGCTTCATACCACGCTACAAAAGGCTAACAAAAATAAAATCTTACCTAGTTCACAAAATAGCAAAAGTTAAAGTACTCCATATTAACAGTACTAAATTCAAATTCCCTATTTATTTTAGTAAATCTTTTCTATTTCCTGCTATGATATTCTTTTCAAGAATAGTTTAGCTCGCTTCCGTGCAGTCGGAAATATAAGTCGTGTACTCAAATATTTTGAGAATGTTCCTATTCCTAGATGCTTCTTAACGTATTGCGAATCATATAAAGAAGTTTTGAGGCAGCTACGAGAAATGGAATGTCTTTTTTTTATTGCATTTCGATTATTAGTGTTGATAACTGTCCAACTGTGAGTAACACTGTCCCATGTAACACGCACTTTTCACTATTTTATGTTATGAGTCCCATTCCAGACTCCGTGCTACCACTGAGAACTTTTTTAAACCCAGTATTACTTTGCCCGATCCGGAAATCGAACCCGTGACCCCGGCAGTCGCACTTGCGACCACTCGGCCAACGAGGCAGTCGACCAAAAGAAATGTGTACCACTTAAATCAACTTAATAAATCAAGAAAGTGCATCACCAAACCCACCCAGTGAATTTACACTTCAGCACATCTAATAAAAATATATGCCAAGTTAATTCCACCATTTTAACTCATAGATTAGCGACGGAGAATTTAATTTCCGTACGCAAGACTCTGGAAATTGAAGAAAAGCTGCTTCAACATCTGGTGAGTCGAGCTCGGTACCATCTAAATGTTGATAGATACATTGTATATAGCCTAATATTACTTGGCCATTGGAGAGACCATATTCAAAGTATTTTTCAATGTTGGAAATAGATTTCGAAGCCAACAAAATTGTATAACGTCATGCTAGAAATTGAAGACATTTTTGAAAAGGACTCTGTAGTAGAATCATCATTTTTTTATGGTATAGGAGGCAAACGAGCAGACGGATCACCTGATGGTAAGCGATCGCCGCCACCCATGGACACCTGCAACACCAGAGGAGTCACAGGTGCGTTGCCAGCGTTTTAAAAAGGAATACGGTCTTTTTTTGAAGGTTTGAAGGTCGTATCGGTTCGGGAATACCGCCGACGACAGACTATTCCATAGTTTTGCTGTGCGAGGCAGAGGCATGTTTGAAATCTCAAAACCCTGTTATACTTTGCATGCTTAGGGGATCAAAACGAGACATACGAACTTTTATCTCGCTTCTAAATTAAGGAGTGAAAAACGGTTTACTAATAATTAATACTCTTTTGTCACATTAATGTGTTTATTAACACATAGACTACAAAGATTTTTCTGTAAAAAACATGTCAAAGGTTACAAAGCGATCCTTCCTCCCACGTGCATCGACGAAGTTTTTGTCATCGTACAGATTAATTAGACAACCTCCCACACTTCTGTCACTGACATCTGGCATTTTAGCGACATTATCTGTCTTTTTATTTTCAAAATGAAAATTGTTCGTTTTATGTGAAAAGTTTAACAGATTGACTTTAATTTTGTTAAGTTACTATCTAAATGACGTGTTCTATGACTCTATAAATATGGAATATTACCGATATTCTAAGGTATTAGTTATCAAGCTAAACACACAGCAACTCGTAGCACATGTTTATCAAAATTAACTTCACATCACTACCCCCCATCCAAATAATCAGAAATTGGAACCTTTAATTCGAATTTCTGTTGTACCAAAAATGGACGTTCGCATAATTAAACACCAGAATGAATTTCCCTTTTTATCTTTAGCTCAAGGTCGGGCAGATGAACTGTGAAATTAGACATCTTCAGGCACCCTTGCCACCCCTATACATAGTATGCGCATGCGTCCTTCGCCCAATTCATTCATTCCGTTCATTACAATTGGTATAAATGTTTGCAAAAGTTTCCTCGCCCTCGCCTGGGACATTTTATCATGCTCCAATTTCCGGCATCCGGTATAGTTGTCACCCCTAATTAAAAGAGAGGGGAAATTAATATTTGCGAGAAAATTCTTGAATGCGAATATTTGTTTATTGAATGTTTCGTTTGGTTTGCTGTTTATTTTTGAACGCTACAGACAATATTGCAGTGAAAATGAAGAAGATATGCAATACTTAATATAGTTTTAACTAACACAAATACTCAAAGAACCATGATAGGATTACAGTTTTGTAATTCATGACGTAATAAAGTTGTTACTCAAAATTGAAATTGGTGTACAATGGAGGTTAAACATTAGAATAATTTATGCAACGAACATATTTCAGAAGTGGGAACATCAAAGAGAATTGTGAACTACGATAACACCTCAACTCAAGTAGAGCAGACGTTACAAAGGGATACGTATCACAGAATTATTTTTAGAAGTTCCCTATTTCCACAAACGCACGGAGCTTTTCATAGTCCTCCATAGATCACATCTCAAGATTGCGTCTGTCGTGGTTTCAACAAGATTTTCTTGTATCTAGAGATGAACGCAATGATAATAAATATTGTGAGGCTGGTTTATTTTTGGAATGAATTCTATTTTTTGTGTATTTTTGCGCCAGTCTGATATAAATATTACGTGTTTTGTTATGTGATCAATAGACTTAGAAATTACATGACTCTGTGATGCAACTTTAAATGGGCCCAGTGTAGTGCCTTGTGGCAGTACTCTTGGCTGTGCGTCTCTTTTTTACCACAAATTTTTGAGTAGTAGTTGCAATTTATGTAAAACTATTTTGTAACATGCAAATACAAAGTTACTTATGACCTCCATCGACATAAATTAAACGATTATATTATTATTTATAACTTTTTCTTCTAATCCTTATGGAACGCCTTAGTTTAACGCCTTAGCCTTATACGTACGTACCCAAAAACCTTTTTTACTCGCATATATTTTTAATTCATACATGTTTAGTTATCAGTAACCGAGAGAGCTACAAAATCAAGAATGCGGATCGTTCTTATCATTTGATAACGATTGTATCAAGTTATCTATTATCTCGTATCGATTGAATTCGCTCTAAATAGTCCGGGCATCGGCAACCTGATCAGTTGATGATAGAACTGGTACAGTGTTTTATAAGTTCCCAAAATGATATCTACACTTTGG